AGGTGTATGGTGTCAAGTTAGCACTACATACCATTTTTTTCTTAAAAAACTACAAATTTTACCTTTCTACAACAAAAACACTACAATTAATGCCCTAGTTAACTTTTCCAATCTCGAAAAGTGTAGTGCTAACTTGACACACGTCAAAAAATATGCCGCATTGATTTGGGGATGCCGCGCTATAACTCGTTGACTAAGGAAAATGCAATGCTCATCGCTCTGCTTTAGGAACGGCAGTCAGGGGTTAGCTTTCCAATAAGGGGGTCGTTAAAGGGGCAGTTGGCGAAGGGGGAGAGGGCGTGGCACCTCAAACCCCAGCTTTTTGGAGGTCATAAACCGCTATTGACAAAAATGCAACCCCCGACCACCTAGGACCCCCTTAGAAAAATGGCCAAAAATCACAATTTTCACTTGCGTCCACAGTAGTTTTGCGTAGAATTCCCACAACAGTCGGGTCTACGTAACCGGAACGACCCAGATTCATATCTGGCCAAGGACTGCCACTCCTGCAACACTCCCCAAAAACTATTTGGGAATTTGTATGCTGTTACTGTAACCAATTAACAATAAATCCGTAGTGGGCTATTAAAGATGATAAATTATGACTTGCGTTTCGAAAAATATATCGTAAAAACTAATGCAGATATCGACTGGAATGAGTGAAACGTGACACGACAACCGGTTCCATGTACCGAAATGACTCGGGATTTATCCGATTAAGGGCTATTGTTTCCGCGATCTAACCCTTTTACGGGTAAATCTCTCAGACGTTGTTCGGCCATGGGGCAACATTTGCTCCGCATTCTTATGCTCATTACTGGCCTAGATCAATCCCAGAGCCATAAACCTCCACCTGCTGCGTATGCCAGAGACGATTACACCCTAATTCCACCGTGGTCAGGTGCAACACCTGCCACGGTTGGAACTCACCGGCAGTGGAACACGTCGTTCGTTGGCCCATGCTGTATAAATCGGTCAACCTTCACGGCACACCAGAGTTCACCCGAACAACACAAAACTAACTCGACTAGTTCCTCCTACAATCTGCACGGTGACATCATTCAAGTGAAATTCCTGCCTTGTCTGATGCCACTTTAGCGCATAGGACTGCGCACCACGCGAGATTGCACGAGCTAAGTACTACGTGGGCCGGCGTTGTATTTCTTAGGCGCAACTACCAACACGGCAGCCCCCCCTTCAGCAGCACACACAGAAAATGGCCAGCAGGCAACACAACTCTCTTACACCTCACATTGCAATCAGTCTCTCTACAATTCAACTGTAACGGACTACAGAACAATATCGAGGAGATACCAATCCAATACAGTTTTAGGCATTCTGACTCCACTTTGTTCAAAAAATTTTTAGTCAGAGCTATATTTTATCAAAAAAATTACTCCGGTTCGGCATTGGTATTGTCGCTGTTGGCATCGAGGGGGAATTCACATCGCCTCATTAAATTAAAAGTCGGAAAGAAAAATCTAAAAAACTTACGCAAGTTGTGAGCAACCCATTAAAACTACTGAAATACATACACCCGGCTTCACTTGAATATGTACACATATTTTCCTCAAGATCCAAGCTTATATCTGGCCTTGCTGCCATCAGAGAAACTTATTTTTGATCTCATTTTGAAGAATGATTAATTTCGAAGAAGACTGGTGGAAATGAAGAATACACTTTGATTACTTTGGAATTTGTTAATAAAATTGCACTTGAAACCTTT